CTGAGGGGTCCCTGGTGGCACAGCCCCCGTCCCTGTCCCCAGCATGCTCCGGCTGCAGAAGAGGCTGGCCTCCAGCGTGCTGCGCTGCGGGAAGAAGAAAGTGTGGCTGGATCCCAACGAGACCAACGAGATCGCCAACGCCAACTCCCGTGCGTGGGGGGCTCGGGGGGAGGAGGAAACGGGGCTGTGAGGGGAGGAGAACGTCTCTGAGAGGGGGAAAACGGGATTGAGAGGAGGGGAGAACACTTATGAGGGGGAAAACGGGGCTGTGAGGGGAGGAGAACGTTTCTGAGGAGGGGAGAACACTTGTGAGGGGGAAAACGGGGCTGTGAGGAGAGAACTTTTCTGAGGAGGGGAGAACACTTCTGAGAGGGAAAATGGGGCTGTGAGGAGAGGAGAACACTTGTGAGGGGGAAAACGGGGCTGTGAGGAGAGGAAAACACTTGTGAGGGGGAAAATGGGGCTGTGAGGAGAGGAGAACGTTTCTGAGGAGGGGAAAACAGGATTGAGAGGAGGGGAAAACACTTGTGAGGGGGAAAACGGGGCTGTGAGGAGAGGAGAATGTTTCTGAGGAGGGGAAAACACTTCTGAGAGGGAAAGTGGGGCTGTGAGGAGAGGAGAACACTTGTGAGGGGGAAAATGGGGCTGTGAGGAGAGGAGAACACTTGTGAGGGGAAAACAGGATTGAGAGGAGGGGAAAACACTCGTGAGGGGGAAAACGGGGCTGTGAGGAGAGGAGAACGTTTCTGAGGAGGGGAGAACACTTCTGAGAGGGAAAATGGGGCTGTGAGGAGGGGAAAACAGGATTGAGAGGAGGGGAGAAAACTTCTGAGAGGGAAAACGGGGCTGTGAGGAGAGGAGAACGTTTCTGAGGAGGGGAAAACACTTCTGAGCGAGGGGAAGCAGGGCTCTGAGGAGGGCAAAACGTTTTTGAGAAGGGGAGAATAGGACTGTGAAGAAGGAAAACGTGTCTGAGAGGGGGAAACAGCTGCAAGGAGGGAAAAATGTTTTTGAGAGGAGGAGAAAGGGCTGTGAGGAAGAGGGGGAAGAGTACAGAACTCTGAGGAAGGAGACAACATGGCTGTGAGGAGGGGAGAGCACTTCTGAGATGGCAAAAAGGGCTGTGAGGGAGGTGAGAGCGTTTCTGAGAGCGGAGAACAGGGCTGTGAGGAAGAGGAGGAAGAGAACAGGGCTGTGAGAGGGGAAAACATTTCTGAGAGGGGAGAAGAGGGTTGTGAGGAAGAGGAGGAAGAGAACAG